AAGATATGGTCATTCTCTTCGATTTTGGGTTTCTCATACCTTTGAAATTATGGATGCCACAGTGTTCGCGAATAATATGCTTGAGGGATTTGATTTTAGTGGACTGTATTTTGTTCTTGTCCAGTTCGATGTCTATTTGGTACTGAAAAATGCCGTCGCAGCGGCGATAAGAATATGTGCGTATACAAATTTTAGTCTCTTCCGTTCTCTTTTTGTTCTCTTTTGGCGATTGCTTCTTCGCTTAGCGATGGACTTGTTATGCGTTCCTCAACACACAGGTTTTCGCCCTTTGTGGGGGCGGAAATGGGCGGGGCGAAGTTTTGAAATATATTTGTAACAGTGACATATCAGAGAAGTCTGGATACAAAAGGTCGTTGCTCTAGCTCTTATAGACGGACAGACGGACAGACAGGGCTCAATCGACTCGGCTATTGATGCTGATCAAGAATATATATACTTTATGGGGTCGGAAACGATTCCTTCTGCACGTTAAACACATCCACTTTTACCACAAATCTAATATACCCCAATACCCCCTCATTTTGAGTTTCGGGTATAAAAATAAGTTAAAAGTTAGTTAAATTTAGGTGATTATAAATAATGCTTGCTATTAGTTTAAGGGATAGTTCAGGGGATAAGGTATGACAGAGGGAGCTATAATTATGGCATATAACCCTGAAAGGTTTATGTTCAGCATAATTCAACCTATATATGGGTAAGTGGATTGTCCTAAAAGTACGGGTAGGTCTAGATGGGACGGCCAAGTCAATCTGACCCAACAGAGTTTGGGAGTCAACAATCCCGAGATGGAGCTTGTGCACGATCATTACGCATTGCATATTCTGCGATTGTGCAACGACGGCAGGTCAATTAGATTTAGCCTAGACCGGTAGGGTGGCAAGATTCTACCCGAGTCCCAGTTAAAGTTACGAAGGTCAAAAATTAAAAATTGCTTTTGCACGGATTCAATAACAACCTGCTGCTCTTTATACTGCGGGCTCCACACACGAGAACAATATAGGACGTACTAACGAGATGTACAGTTGTTTCGTAACGTACGGGTCGTCAAACTCCTTGGACCAACGCTTGGATGAACGCTAAAACACCCTCAGCTTTATTTACTGTTGCAGCTATATGGCTGTTAAAACACATCTTATGATCAAAAAGGACTCCGAGGTCATTTGAACTCGGAATTCGCTCGAGGACATGATTTCCTAAAACATATGAAACAAAATGTGGAGCGCGAGGGTAAAATGTCATAAGTTTGCATTTAGAAAGGTTCAGAAATAGAAGATAAGTTGATCACCACTAAGATCCAGTTGAAGGCGTGTGTGCAAATACCAATCAGAGTAAGGCAGGCAGATTTTAACATCATCAGCATTCATTAGTGTCGTAGAGTATGTTATAACTTGAGGAAGGTCATTCACAAATAAAACGAGGGGGAACGTTGTGAGTGGCTGCGGCGACCACAACTCTACACTTATACCCGATACTTAGTCAGTATAGCTCTCCTCCGGCAGACGCCGCTAATATTAAAAGACACGACAAAGAGTGCGTGCGAGAGAGACAGAAAACGTGTCTGAACATGTCGTCGGGCGCTGCGCAGTCACTGCAAATTGATTTGTTACTATTGGCTATAATAAAGATCTCATCTGATCCAGATTCAGCAATCTGATAGATATGGTCATTATCTATGATTCTGCGTTTTTAGTTTTCTCGAATCTGCAATATTGTGGATGAAAAAGATTTTCGTACTTTGTGGGAGCGGAAGGGGGTGGGGCGAAATTTTGAGATATAAGTTTTATAGTGACATCTTAAAGGAGTGTGTGTTACAAATTTGGTTACTCTAGCTTTAATAGTCTCAGTGATTTGTGGATGCCTCAGATTTTCGTCCTTTGCGGGGGCGGAAGGGTGTGGGGCGAAATTTTGAAATAAACTTGTGCAGGTCCGATATCACAGGAAGGTGGATACCAAGTGGAAGTGGGCGGGGCGAAGTTTTGAAATATTCTTGTTAATACTCATTTTGTTAATAAAACTGCAATGATTAAAAATATCACTATACTTTCGAAGTATCGAATACACTTTAAATTAGCGACGTACTGAATTTTCAAAAGAATAAACAGTTTTGCCGGTAATACAAAAAGTGTGAAGTAAAAGCAACTGTGAGCAACAACTGCCAGAACGCAAAATGCCCTTTGAGGAGCGAAATTTCGCAAAAAGTGTGTAGAGAAAAAATGAGCAAAAATGAACAAGTGAGCAAAAGAGAACAGTTTGGAAGGAACATTTTCAGTTGCTAACACCAATTTAATAAAAGTACCAGTACCAGAAAAAAAGCATACCTCTCACTCTTACTGCATGCTTTTCCCTGTAGTGCTTTCATTGCTGGTCTCGCCCTTCAACTACTTCAATTCAAGTGTATTGGAATTCGTAGTGGTGCCATAGGCACCACCTCGTGTACTGTTAGGCGCAAAAAGCTAACTGTTAAAACAAGTTCTGTTAGATATTTCGAACAAGACGCGCCTCTTCCGTCAATGAAATTGATAAACATTTTGTTGGTTTTTCTGCTTAGGTTTGCTTCATTTCTTTATTTTCTGGCGAAAATTAAAAAAAAAAATAAAAAAAAAAACTTTTAAATAAATACTTTTACGGATTTCTCAATAAACTGCGATTTTTTGTACATATGTTAACATAATATATATACATACATAGTCGTAGACTTTACATAGTCCTGGCTCAATGTCCACGTTCTAGCGTAGTTTGAGTATGTCTGTGGGTGTACGCTTAGTATACAAAATACGAATAATTTAAACAAACAGAAATTGCCCAGATATTTTAATAATGTGGAGTGTGAAGAAATAAAAAAATAAATAGTTCTATTTCGCCAATCAAATAATAATAATAGTAATATTAATTACCAAAATAAAGAGAGTTTGTTAAATCCATATAACGGATATTCAAATATTTCATACAAATATGTACATATACAGTCCGATATACATACACTGTATATAACTTAATCTTCTTGTTGATATTTTGTTCTTAAGAACTATGATCTCTTTTTTGTATGTTTTTAACATATTTTTCTTGATTTTTTGTTCTTAGCTTTTCTTCTCGAGTTTTTAGTTTTTAGCTTTATGTAATTGGTAAGTTTTGGAAATTTTTCAATTAAAAAATTGCTTAGATCTTATACTATGCTGTTCTGATCGTTCGACCAGAAAGATGTCGATGAGGATGATGATGGTACGATCGTTAGCAAGGATAAACTCGTAGCAAGTGGAATCTCTAAATTACTCTCCCACTTATAACTATTTCTTGACTCACTCCAAATAGTTGATCTAGATCTAGTTGTTGTCGTAGTTTTGGTTTTAGTTGTAGGTTTAGTGGTAATTTTAGATTTAGTTGCAGTTTGAAATGCAAGAAATTAAATTTCCTGCTTACAATTTACGAGTTGTTATTACGAGATATATATTACATATTTATAGCATATACCACCTGTATATGCATGTAAATATAGCTAGAAAAAGACTTTCGTTTCAAAATCGAATGCGCAGTCGAGAGCGAACGAGCCAACTCAACAGTTCTGCTTGTGTTGTAGTGTGTGTTCTTTGTGGTTAGCATTTTTGTGTGTTTATGTTTGTGTTTGTTTGAGTGTGGGTTTTGTTTTGATAATAAATTGTAATCAGTTCTTTGAGTTCTCATTTGAAAATGTTCTACTGCAAATGTCTATATGAAATCCAAGTAGCGATAGTCATCGATCTGTCCTTGTCCTCCCTGTTCCGTAACCTCTCCGTTTGGATCTGGGTCTGGGTATGGGTCTGGGTCTGGGTCCGGTTCTGGGTCCGGGTCCGCCACTTGTATCTGGTATCGGTTATCTATATCTGTTTCTAAATCTCTTATTAAACCTCTGTCTGCGTCTGTCGATTATTGTTAGTGGCATATAATGCCCAGAAATTGTTTTAGTTAACCTACCTTAAGCACTAATCCAAAAAATAAAAAGGATCTTATTTACGATTAATTAATAAGTAACTTATCCCTAAAACTAATTTACAATTGGATATTTGTTGGGCTTCTATCATTGCTGTTGCTCCCGCTGATCCAGGCGCCTTGGGCCCCGCTCTCAGAAGGGAGCATCACCCGCATACCAGGGATGCACCCACGGCGCCGATGGCGGTGGCGTCGGCGGATATATCGTCGGCGACGGTTGGCCGTGCGAATGGTGTGCCGCCGCCGCAGCCGCTGCAGCAGCCGCCGCTGCAGCTGCATGATGATGTGCGGCTGCCGCCGCCGCCGCGTGGTGATGATGGTGGTGCTGATATGGTGCGGTAAACGCTGCCGCCGCCGCGGCCGCTGCATTGCCGTAGTAGGAGGCTGCGGCAAGGGCTGCGGCTGCAGCCGAAGTGGGCGAAGCTACTGCTGAGGAAGAGTGGCTTGAGGCGGGCGACAGCCTGGCTAATCCTGCCGCGCACACGCTGTGCCGACGGAGCATGACGTGCCGCTGCTGTGGTGGTGGCGGTGCACGTGCTGCTGCAGCTGGAGTCGGTGCTGGGGCTGCCGCTGCCACATGTTGCTGCTGCAGTTGGGCTGCTCTTCTCTGACGCTGCTGCTGCTGCTGTTGTTGTTGTTGAAGCTGCTGTTTCTGTTGCACTAGGCTCCACTCGGGCAGGGCGCTGCTCAGCGGCGGACTCAGCATATTGGCTGCCGCCTTTCCGTACATGTTGGACAGGTAGGCGTGCTCCGCCTCGGCCATCTTCTGGGCCGCAGTTTTGTTACTGGCGCTGGTGGTTGTGGTGGTGCTACTACTTCTGTTGCTGCTGCTGGTAGTGGGCGTGGTGCTAGTATGGCTCCTGCTGCTGCTGCTGATTGTGGTTGTAGTGCTGCTCCTTGTGGTGCTCTGCTCTGCATGCTGCCGCTTCTTGAGCAGCCGCTGCTGCTCAGCATGTTGTTGTTGTTGCTGTTGCTGTTGCTGTTGTTGCTGTTGCTGTTGTTGTTGCTGTTGTTGTTGTTGTTGTATTTGCTGCTGCTGCTGTTGGTGGTGGTGCGGGTGTTGGTTGTGGGAGTACAACATTTCGTATGTGTTGCTGTTGTGTGTTCGCTGCTGCTGTAGCTGAAAGTGTTGGGTTGGCTGCTGCTGATGTGCTGGGTGGTGATTGTGGTGATTGTGGTGCTTCTGTTGCTGCTGTGGTGCTGGAGGCGGTGCTAAAGCTGCACTCGACTTTCGCTTGGCTGGCAGCACATCACTGCCCAGGCTGTGTGGCGGTGTGGTGGCTCTTCTTCTCAGTGGTGACGCTGCCACTGCCACTGCTGCTGGTGGTGCTGCTTCTGCAGCTGTAATTGATAACGATGTTCTTGTGGCTGTGTTGGCTGTTGTGGTACTTGTTGTGATTGTTGTTGGTGGCAAATGTTGTGCTCCCCAGCTTAAATCCTAGCTCGTTCGCGTCCGCTTAGCCGGCGGCTGCTCTGACTGGCGTGTCATGAAGGTCAGCTGCGTCATGTATTTGATAATATCGCGCACCTGTACGAGCGGCATATCCTCTGTGTAGGTTCGATCGTACTCCATCAGGATCTGCACTTGTCGGCTGCAATGAAACGGGAAACTTCATGAGTAATGTGGCGGGTCAGCGCTTTAAATACCCTAGCCTTCAACGAGCACCTTTCATAAAGTCATAGTTATCAAGATACATACATCGTTTCAACACTATTTTCATTGAGAGATATTTAATAAATCCAGTTCAGTGTCCATCAAAGTGGACAGGATTATGAATATGAAACTAAAGCTTGTGTATCCTCCTATCCTATCCTCCTCTTAGAAGGGTAGAAGGAACATGGTACACTGCTGATCAATCAAATAGCCTCAAGTTGTTTCTTGATTCCGGGTACTCGATTTAGATTTGTGGTGAAAGTGGATGTGTGCAACACCCAGAAGAAAGCGTTTCCGACCCCATATGGTACGAGCGCCTAGTGCTCGGAGACTATAAGATCTAGAGAAACGATATTTTCTATACAGACTTCTGTGATATGTCACTGTTACAAGTGTATTTAAAAATTTCGCCCTTCCGCTCCCACAAAGGACGAAAATCTGTAACTTACACAATTTCAAAGATACGAGAAAAAAAAAAAAAAAAAGAGAATCGTAGAGAATGACTGTTTCTTCTAGACTGCAGAATCTGATCCAGATGGTATCATTATTATAGCCAGAATAAAGTCAACAACTTCATTCTCTCTCGCTCTGTCTCTATCTGACAGAAACGTTTTTATTGTAGGCTTTGCGTATCGCTCAAAATGAGCGCCTAGATCTCAGAGAGTATAAGAGCTAGAGCAACCAAATTTGGTATGCACACTCCTGTTAGACCTCACTTTCACTAGTGTGTATCAAAATTTTTCCCCGCCCCCTTCCGCTTCCACAAAGGCCGAAAATCCGTGGCATTCACAATTTTTAAGATACGAGAAAATAAAAAAACCCACAATAATAGAGAATGACCATATCTACCATATCGGGTCATTTTTATAACCAAAAGGAACAAATATATTTGCAGTGGCTACGCGGCGCCCGACGCCACGTTCTGACTGATTTTCTGTCTCTCTCACACGCACTCTTTGTCGTGTCGTTTAATATTAACGGCGTCTGCCGGAGGAGAGCCATACTGACTATGTATCGGGTGTAAATGTATTGTTGGTGGCGCAGCAGCAACTAACAGCGTTCCCCCTCATTTTCTTTGTTTTCAGGCTAAAAATTCAAAAATTTATTTTTGGTACATAGATGTTTTGAATCTTATTGTTTTGTTATGTTTTTATACATATTCGATCAAAATTATGAAACCAAACCAAAAAAAAAAAACTATTATTTTTTCCATGACTGTATGTAAAAATGTACGTTGTTTGAGTATATCTTAAGACCATCTTTAAAAGCAAAAAAAAGTTTTGACTTTGAATTAGAAAAATGTGTTTTTATGTGAATCAATATATGTACATAGTTATCTTACCGGTTCGCCTTGTATAGCTCTACGCCAAGAGCTTCGATCAGCCGTTTGCAGTGTTCGCGCGGCACTGAGGGGAAGAAGTTCTTCTGGAACTCAATGAGAGTCATCAGCTGCTCGGAGTCGTTGTAGGCCTTCATGTTGATGCAGGGCACCAGGTGCTTGTCGACGCACACCTTCTGAATCTTGTACGGATGGAGGTTCATGTTGTTTGTGGGTATCTCCGGAATCACGCATAGCCGCTGGGCACCATCCGCACTGGCGGCCGCCGCCGCATGGGCCAGCGCCGCATGGCGTTGCAGGTGCAGGGATGCGCTGTTTGCCGACGCCGATCCCGAGGAGGACGAGTTGCTGCCGCTACTGCTGCCGCCGGTGCTGCCAGTGCTTCCGCCACCGCCGGCATTCGATGAACTCCGTCCGTTCTGCTGGGCATGATGGGCGGCCACCGCCGCCATGCGCTGCTGCGCCACAGCCGCCTGCTGGTGCTGCTGCAGGTAAGCCGCTGACGCTGCCAGAGACCTTCGGGAAGAGGACAAATCGATAACGTCAGTGGGTGTGGTTCTGGGAGTGCCCGAACCCGAACACGAACCGGAACCGGCAACAGGATTTTTGCCGTCCTGCTGATAGTGGCTACTACTACTATTACTACTACCACTAAACTGTTGCGCATGTGTGTTGGGATGATGATGGTGGTGGCTATGGCTATGGCTATGGCTATGGCTATGGCTGTGTGTCTGACGCCCGTAATTGACGGACCCCCCGCGACGACCCCCCGCACTGCCTTGGGGCGAGTTTGCGGTTGAGGCTAGGGAGACGACGGCCAAGGGAAGATTGTTGGATTTGGTCGAGCAGATCACGCTCTTCTGGCGCCCCACTCCCCCCTTTCCACCCACTGTGCCGACACCACCCGGAGCCTGGCCCTGACTATTGCCGAGCGGTGAGGCGGCCGTAGTAGAGGCACTCGAGCTGGAACAGGAGCTGGAGGGTGAGTGCAGGAAGTGCCCCGGCAGCTGTGGCGTGATGGTCACATTCGGGTTGGAGGCCAGCGACAGGGTGGTTACACCGCCTATGCCTAGGGATCCACCCATGCCACCAAGACCCACGCCCACCGACGGGGACATTGGAGGGGAAATATAGGAGGGGACCAGGTGGCCCTGACTATGGTTGGAGGCTGCCGCCGCATTCGTCTGGATAAAGGTGGAGAGATCCGGATTGGCCAGGACCTTCTGGATAACGGCCCGCATCTCGTCCGTCATCTTCTGCTTCTTCTCGAAGTCCTCTAGCGCCTGGGAGGAGTTCAGTGATATGGTGGTGGCCCCACCGGACCCATCGCCGGCTCCTCCTCCTCCTCCTCCTCTACGACTCTTGCCCGAGCTTATCTGCTCAACTCCCACTCCACCTCCGCCGGCCCCTCCATCTGGTATCAGTGGTGGGACATTGGGTTTCGTAAAGGTCACTCCGCCACTACCACTGCCACTCCCACTCCCAGACTTGGAGCTCTTGCTGGCCGAGAGGGAGGAAGATTTGTTGGGATTGTTGTAGTCGAGCATCGTGATCAAGTCCGTGTCCAGCGGCAGGGAAGGCAGTGCCGGAAAGCTCTTCTGTCCCAAGCCTGAACTGCCTGATCCAACTCCTCCTGCGATTACTGGATGAGAGCCAACACTGGCTGAACTAGCTGCACCACTTCCACCGCTCCCACTGGTGCAACCCTTAAGCTGCTGGCTAAAGAGCAGGCGCTGGGCTGGCGTCAGCTGGTTCCACAGTGCCAGGTTCGTATAGTCCGCCCGGGTCGAAGGCAGGTTGTAGTTGAAGGAGTTACCCGCGTTGCCGCCACCGGTCGCAACTCCGCCTAACAGGGCCTGAACATAGCCGGCAGCGGCTGCCATGGCAGCGGCAGATTGGGATGCGCTGGCGCTGGCGCTGGCGCTGGCGTTGACGTTCACGTTGACGCTGGCGTTTACGTTTACGTTGATGGAGGCGCAGGAGGAGGAGGCGGTACTTTTCTTCATCCCGCCAACGCTGTGGTTGCTGAGGCTTTTGGCAAGAGCGTGGCCGGAATGATTGTAGGTACTATTATTGGTGTTGGTGTTGGTGTTGGTGTTATGGGTGCTATGGATGTTCTTGTTTTGGTTATTCTGTTGGTGTGATTGTTGGTTTTGGTTGTGGTGTGGAGTGTGTTGTTGTTGTACGTGGTTATTGGTGAATGTGCTGTTTTGGTGTGGTTGGTGGGGTTGGTGGGGTTGGTGGGGTTGGTGTCGTTGTTGTTGTTGAGTCTTTTGCTGTTGTTGTTGCTGTTGTTGTTGTTGCTGTAGTTGCACCAGTGATTGCTCGACATTCGACCTAGAAACATTATATATAATACATAAGTGTTGTACCGCTGTTGGAGAGAGCTCTCTGATCTTAAGTTTTCCATTTTTTCTTTTTATTTTCGATTTTATATTAAATTTATTTAATTTTAGATCTTCTTTTTCGGTTTTTTTTTTTTTTTTAATTTTATTTGATTTATTTTTAATTCTTTCTTTTTTAATTAACTTTGATTTACAAGTTTTTGGTTTTCAATTTTTGTTGTAATTGTTATGTTTCCCCGCATTTGCCGTTCTGATTTCTCATTTGAACATTCTCATACATAAAATATATATATACTCGTACCATTGATATAGAATATGTTACAGGATTTGTTTTTGTTTCTGTTTTTGTTTCACTTCAACAGAATGCTTTCACTTATCTCTAGCTAACCGTTAAGTACACACACAACATTTTGTGGACAAACAGAAATCGAAAAGAATGGGATGGGGTGGGATCTAAGGCCAAAGTTAACAATTTCTAGGCTACGATTTAATTTGTGTTGTACATCATTTTTTGATTTTAATTTAAATTGGCTTTGAATGGCACTTGTCTTCATTTCCTTCTTCTCCTTCTTATTGCTCTGCATCTTGTTCTTTCTGTTCTCTTGTCTGGCAGCGCAAGCCTCTCCTCTCTCTATAGTTCATCTTCTTTTATTTCATCTTCGAGCTCTTCATTTACTTCTTTTTCTTGTGTTTATTGTTGTTGTTATGGTTCTTCTTGTTCTTCATACTTCTTCGTTGTCAATTACAATCTTCTTCTGAAAATCGATGACTGATCGAGGCCTAAACATATCGCAAACAACTAATATCTCGAGTACCTTCCCCTTGAAGAATATCTTCTGCCGATGAAAATATAATAAGAAACCAAACCAATAGTCAATAATCGTTGTTTATTGTGCGCTCGTTGTTGTTGTTGTTATTATTGTTATTGTTATTATTATTATTATTATCATTATTATTATCATTATTATTATTATTATTACTACTATTACTATATTGTTGCTCTCTCTCTCTCGTTCTCTCTCACTCTCTCGCTGTCTTTCTGCTCTGTCTCTCTGTTTTTAGCTTTTGCCGAATACTAGGCTTATTTTTTTTTGTAATGAACATTGAAAATGGATGTAAGTATTTGTGTGTGTGTGGTTCTGTGTGTGCTCTTTTGTTTTTGGGTGTGTGTGATCATAATGAGAATCTTTCAAAAAGCTATTTCTTTAAATTATTCCCTTCTCCCTAAGGTCTTTCTCCCTTTTCCTGCTGCTCTCCTGCCTTCTTTACCGTTGCGTTTCAAACGGGGGAATATAGCATCAGATTCTACACGCCTTTTATATATGTACATATGTACACACACACATATATATCTATATATGTATGTGTGTGTGTGTGTGTGGGTGTGGGTGTGGGTGTGTAGGGTGGAGGGACGCGTGGGGCGAAACGGGGTAAAAACCTGCCACCACCACCAAAAGACTTGTTCGTGTACTCGTTGTTGCTTTTGCTTTTTTTGTTCCGTCCGTCCCATTCAGCGTTCGTCTCAAGTCGTGAGTCATCGTATGCGTATTCGTACGTGTGTGTGTGTGTGTTTGTGTGGGTGTGTGTGTGTGTGTTGAAGAGGGTATGTGTGCGCGGGATTTCATTAGGAGTAGTCGGTACACACAGCCATAGAATAAATGTAGATATGTATGTTCGTTGCATATTATATATAAATATATATATATAATGATATATGTAAAAACATTATTATTTCATTGATTTCTCATTTGAATATGCGAATTTATGTTTTTCAAAATATGTTGTTCTTCCTTTATTGACATTTGATCTCTCCAAAGGATATTAACAATTATTGAGCTTAATATTGTACAATACAAAGAAAGAAGCAGTTGGGGTAGGGTAAAGGAATAAACAGAATTTTACAGCAGGAAACAAATACATATGTACATACATACATATGTGCGTACATATGTATACAAAACAACAAAAAATAATCATCTCGAAAACTAATACAACTATTATATTATATGTACATATATGCATACACATATGTACATACATACATACATACATACATACATACATAAATTGTATATATGTATATTTTTATATGGAGATATATGTATATTCTACGTACACCTTTAGATTTTGGATTACTATTATTTCTGTTCAGTTCATTCGGGTTGAGCAACATCAAAAAGGAAAACTAAGGGACATGCAATCTCTAGGGGTACCATCAAAAAGATCTTTCCAAAAATAAAAATAATACTACTAAATGATATATGTATAAGTGTGTGCAAGTGTAAGTGTATGTGTGTGTGTGTGTGTGTGTGTGTGTGTGTGTGTGTGCTTGCTGAGTTTAATTTAAGTCGATTGTAGTTTAGTTCTACTAGGAACTTGGCTCGGGGATATTGTTAGTCGGAACCGTTCCCAATGTGATACACATGTACATATACTCCACCCGGTCCACCCAGTCGCTCTCCCGACACCGACACCGACACCGAAACCGAAAGCGAAGCCGATCTGATTTATTCTGGTTGTGCTGGAGCCTCGCCTGAGGCACCCTAATGCATTCCGTAAGTGGTTAGGAATCTGGAGAACCAAAAACACAGCGTAGACACAACGCTGCAGAAGGTCGGGCTTTCTGGTATTGGGGTTTTTCTTGTTTGGCTGTTTTTGCGGTTTTCGGAAAATGTGTTCAGTTTGAAAAACATAACATAAACTGGTGTAGACACGATGTCGACTGTACTTTTTAACGCAAACACGATAAGTCGTAACGGTAGTAATACGTTTTCCGGTACTGTCTGTTGGTCATGTGATACTAATATTTGTTCTTTGGACTCAAACAACAACGATACGATTAAAATGGAATCAATTATCTTGTAGGGAAATTACGTTAAACGAAAATTCTAATAAATGTTGCATGACCTTGAAAGGCAAACAAAGAGCAGAGAGAGAGAGAGAGAGGGAGAGAGAGAGACATAGAGAAGTAATGCGTGGAGCGAGTATTATTTGTTGTTGATTTCTTTTGTTTTTTTTTTAATAATTTAATATATGTATATATGTATGCACATATAGCATTTGATTCATTTAAAACGGTAAGCACAGTTGAAAATTTATTCAATCAAATGAAATAAAACGCGTGCACAAACGCCGATTTCGGTAGTTATATATATATATATATATACAAATATATATAGATATATTTTTTATTGTGTGTGTTTTTATTATTTTGTTTCATTATATCTAACATTGAGGATGATCCAAAAAACAATCGGTGCATTAGATAAGAGAATAAAGAAAGAGCAAAAATAATATCGACTGTCTGTATATGTCATGTGGCACCCTAGTGGCAGAACAGCTATAGCTCAAGCGGCGATTTCTCAATGTCTGTACAGTCTCGTCACTCAGGGATATTCGATGTGGTTATTGAGCAGCTAAGCTACAGGAACAGGAGAGAAATGCGATTTATCGATCAACAATTACACGTACAACCCTTTGCTTGACTTCGCATCGTTTCGTTTCGTTTCGTTTCGTTCCGAAATTGAGACATTGAGAACTCGACAACTTAGAGCCGATTGCTATGTGTAAATAAAACAACAGCAAGAAAAATGATAGAGTAAGGTTGATTGGCAAAAACGAATTACAACAAAATTTGAAAAACACAATTTCTGCGCATTTGCATCGAGATTCAACAAAATGAACGTCGTAAATCTATTCAATGTAGTAAATATCATAAAGAAAAGCAAAATCAAATAGTATAAGTACGTAAATAAGAGTTTTTCTATTTTATGTTTTATTCTTCTATTATTTTTTTTTTGCTTTGGGCTTTTTGCGATAAAAGATAGCAAAAAAAAAAAATGGGATAGAAGGGATAAAATTAACAATCGATAGACGAATGTGGCAGGCACTTACATGTGATTGGCATTCTGGCCGGCAGCGGAACGGACCAAAGGCGGTGGGGCGTTCCCCCCGCCGCTGGCGCTGTGACTGTTCACCGAGGACATGGAGATCGCAGGATTGTTGTAGGAGTACGACTGACGGCTGCTACCACTCATCATCAGGTTGTTCATATGCTCGCGGTAGCTTCCCGCGCGGTTCGCGCTCGCCGCGTGTGACTGTTGCGCCTGTGTTTCAGTTCCATCCGTCGAGAAGACCCCAAAAATGATAGAACAAGAACGAGAGTAGCCGCATTAAAACAACTGCAAGAGGGAGGCTTTAGAAATCGCACAATCAACGGCAACAACAGGTTGCCACTAACTATTTGTGCCCACGAGTGTGCGCGTGTGTGCGCGTGTGTGCGCGTGTGTTCGCGTGTGTGTGTACTGTATGTGTTCAAGTGTGAGAGAGCGGTGTGCTGCTGCTCCACCATCGTGCTGTGCTGCACACGATGGCTGACCTAGTTTCCCCGACTGCGCGGCTGCTGCGCGGTTGCCAAACTGTGAAAAACTCAGTTAGAAAACTCAGGCCAGCACAAACTGGGCACACAAACTACAGTGGGCCCCCCACTAATGTGTACACCGTCGCACTTTAGCTCGATTTATTCGTCTATAGCCCGCCGTAGAGTTGCAGCAAGAATCAAATAATATATGTACATATACATACATATATGGCAGTGTGTACTACCACACATACAGGGTCTGATAGCTGTAGAAACACCGAACACCCTTTTTTTTAAATTCTCCCTGTCATAATTAGCCGATAATAACGCCTCTAAGATATATTTCGACAATAAATATGTGTATATGATATGTACATATGTTTACCACCATTTACCATTCAAATAAATATAACTATTATAAAATATTTATATTTCTTTTCTATATTTGTTGTAGTTCACATTTATTATTATTTAATTATGAAAACCAAATCACTGGTCGATCGGAACGGAACGGAACGGAACGGTCCCAACTCGTGGGCTGAGGATTCTCGTGTTCTGCTGCTGCGCAGCCGCTACACGTACCGGAAAAGCAGGCAAGAGACTGTCGTCTACGCACACAACCGAACTACAAGGCATGTGACTGCACCGCTAGTATTTGCATGCATATGCATAGGTATGTACGTAGGTGTGCATCACTTTTGGGAATCAAAATCGAATGGGAAAACGTAATTTGGTGGTCTGACAGTTGGCGAAAACTGTCTATAGGGCGTGGAAGTTGATACGCTCAGTAGGTAGCCCAGGTAAGCCTTGGTGGGGGAATCGGATAATCGCATGCAGATGTGTAACAGCAGATGGAGCTTAAAGTATGAACAAGGACTGGGACATGAACGTAACTTCAACTAGAGATGGACCTCAACACTCGACATGGCACTATCGACACTATCGATGGTAGGACACTATCGAGCTACCAAACTATCGATGGTTCAAAGTCTCAATAGTGTACGAAAGTGGCATGACACGAAATCACCAAGGGACTAAGTTGCGACATAGAGTCCAAGACCAGTAGAGCCCACTAGAAAGGTTCCACTCGGATTTGAGAAGCCATACTCCCGATTCCGGCTTACCAGCTGCAGATGCTTGTGATGACAGCGAAAACATTGCATCTACAAGCAGCAGTTGCAGATCGAGTATGCGGTCAATGGACTCGTACTTTAAAAGAGCTGTTATTTATATATTGATAGTTTTAACAGAGATGGTTGCAAAATATGTACAGCCCTTTAGTATCGTTGAGAACGAAGGCTTTATCAAATATTCCCAACGTATGGATCCACGATACAATTTTTCCAGCCGGACACAGTTGAGATCCGTCATGATGGCCAATCTCTTTAAAGAAACTTTGGCAAAATTAACTATATTCTTTGCCGCAAGAAAACTGAAAGATGCAACAAGTCACTCATCCTTAAAGGATACATTGACATCTTGGTACGCCTTGCATTTAATTGCAGGTCAACCAAACAGACTTTCCATTATTAATATCATTGATGTTTTAATATTTATGCATCCCAGCTACGACTTTGGAGTCTGAAAGAGTTTTCAGCAAGGGAGGGCAAAATCTTTGGCTACAATAAAACCATAAAACAGAATCCAAGAATAAAACAAGGATCCCCTTGTTGCAACGTTGTTAGTTGCTGCCGCGACCGCAACTCTACATTTATAGCCGATACTTAGTCCGTATGGCTCTCCTCCGGCAGACGGCGCTAACATTGCACGACAAAGAGTGTGTGCGAGAGAGACAGAAAACGAGAGACGACAGAACGTGTCGTCGGGCGCGTGTGGATACCAAATTTGGTTGCTCTAGCTGTTATACTCTCTGAGATCTAGGCGCTTACTTTTTGCGATAGGCAAAACCGGCTATAATAATGATATGATCTGGTTCAGATTCTGCAGTCTAGAGAATATCGTAATTCTCTACGATACTGCGTTTTTGGTTTTCTGGTATCTTTAAAATTGTGGACCGCCTACTGCATTAAGAATTGTAATAATTCTATTAGCATCAAATCAAGCACTTTTTTACACGTTTAAAAGCACTACATTTTTTATTAAGACTATCGACCACTACCGATGGTACTATCGAACAATATTTATGGTTTTGAAATTACTGTCATCCACTATTGAGGGCGCCCACTATCGATAGTTCTCCACCTCTTCTTCCGATGTCTTTCCGATTTACCATGGTCGCCAAAACGACTTAGGGGGCTGATCGAATAAAGGTTCAGAGGGTTACTCGGTACATAATGGGTACTCACCATCATTTGGGCGTGCAGCTGCAGGTTACTCTGCCCCGACATCCAGCCGCTACTTGCCAGCGCCTGGACCGTCGCCTGCGAGAGCATGCGGTTGCTGCCCGCTGTCTGCTGCATCATCGCTGCCGAGGCCGCCGCTGCAACAGCTTGAGTATTGAAGGCGGCCGCTGCTGCCGCCGCTGCCTGCGATGCGCCGAAGCCACTTGTATTTGAGACGCCATTGGCGTTGGCCGCCGCCGCAGCGCGCTGCTTTATTAGATGCTGTGCGGCGGCAGCTGTGTTGTGTTGCTGGGACTGCTGGGACTTTTGTACGCCCACACCACCGCCCCCGCCGCTACCACCGACGCTGGCGCCGCTGTTAGTGGAGTTGCTGCCGGCAGTGCCGGCGTTGCTGGAGGGGTTGGTGCTCACAGTGGTCGTGATCTTTGGGGGCGGTGCGGAGGGCTGGCGGGTCCAATTGACCGAGTTGTTTACGTTGGCCCGATTGCCAATGAGCAGGTTGGAGTCGACCACCTTGCTAGGCCAGTAGTCTTCGAATTCCGTTCCATTGGGGAAGTAGCTTTTGATGTCCGTTAGCGAGATGACGGCGACGTTCTCGCTGGAGAAGAGCTCGTTACGAATGCCCTGGACCTTGCAGCAGAATTTCAGGTAGGCCAGGTCCCAGCCGTTGAGCAGCTCGGCCTTGGTCTTGAGGTTCTCCGTCTCGCCCTCGAAGTAAAAGAGCGGCACCACCTGCTGGTTGTTGCGCACCGTGTACGGGACGACTGACTCCTTGTTGATCCGGATGAAGCCGCACTTCTCCGAGGGCGTCTTGCTGCCGGTAACCAGCTTCCGGTAGCAGATGTCCAGGAACTGGAAGAACTTGGAAGCGTCACCTAGCCGCACCACCAGATCCTTTTGGGTGAATATGTCGCGTCCAAACTCGCCATCGCAGTGCTTGTGGTTCACCTCAATGAAGAGGCGCGCCTCGGAGTCTGTGATATAGTAGCTGCGCACGCACGTGCAACTGGAGTAGATGTCTGGATGCAAACAGTTGAGGTACTTGCCGAGGAGCTTCAGCTCGATCATCCGCACCGAGCAGTACTTCTCCGTCTGCCGGTAGATGTACGGTATGGAGACTTTGCCGAACTGTGCCCACCCAAAGCGACCCATGATCGACTCCTCGTCGCAGGGCCCACCCGCGGATGATTTCTTCTCAGCGCCTTCTCCTCCACCTGCGCCTGCGCCAACGGCCTGATTTTGTATCAGCACCGACCCGTTGGCCCGCTGTCCGTTAGGGGCCAGGGCGGGCACCACCTGCATGGTACCGTTGGGAAGCTTCTGGTGGCGTGACAAGTAGCTCATGATGTTCGTCTGTCCATTGCCGTTGGTGATGGGCGGCTGCATGGCCCCACCGCCAGAGCCGGCACCATTGGATTGCTGCATGGCCTGGCGGCTGGCCAGCTGGGCGGCCTGGTGCTTCTGCTGCTCCTTCATTTTGGCGGCCAGCTCCCGGATTTCGGCATCGTCAGCACGCTCCTGCTTTACGGTACCAGGAGCTCCGCCCAGGCTACTGCCTTGCAGTGGCAGTGATTGACCGTTGGCGTCCACGACGCTAGTGATCTGCACATCCTCGTCCGACATGACGCGGATGTGGCACGCTCTCTGTTATCTCTTTGATCTCTCTCTCCCCTTGTGGCGGCGTTGCTCTCTTTCTCACTGAATCACACGTTCTTTGGTTTTTTTTGTAAAGGGATATTATTGGGTTTGTTTTTATTTCCGCCCAGTGGCTAAAGGAAGAATCAGAAAAGGTTATTCTGTTAAAAATGATTTCAAAAAAACAGCACTCTCTCTGCCACACACAAACTCAGTTGATGACGTTTTGTTAAAAAAAAAAATGAATAAAAAACACACACACGCACAGGCACTTGCACACGCTGGAGAGAGGGGCGGCCGGCATGCGCGCTCTCCCTCACTCTCTCTCTCTCTTCAGCGCACACAGTTGACACAGATATGGCCACACTGGACACGCACACAAACAAGCAAACGTCTGAAACGTGATGTTTTTTTGTGTTTCTCTCTCAATCTCGCTCTCCCGTTGTGTGTGTATGTGTATGTGTGTGTGTGTGTGTCGTGCTGTTTCTTTCGCGCGCGCACTTTTGGCAGTTTTTGTTGTTGCTGGTATTTTATGTTGTTTGTGGTGCTTTTGCCGTTGTAATTGTTGGTGCTTCTTGTTTGTTGCAATTTTGGTTGCATTTTTCTTTCAATTTGCAATCTCTACACACATATGCACACAAATTTAGGCACATGCAACTGTCTACATACATTTATCATATATATCTTGTATCACTGCTCACTCTTACACAAAACAAACTGTAACTTCTGCTGTTGCTGCTGCTTTTGTTGCATTTGTTGCATGATTTACGATGATTTGACTTCAGGTTGGTTACAAAAAACAAAAAAAACTTTAACCAATTTTCTGAATGATCCGCTCAAACATTCGTTGTTATTTTGCAATATTTATTCACTTCAAGGTGTAACAATTCTATGTGGGTTGTCACACACACAGAGACGTGATAGGCAAGGGTGACGCGATTTGGTATTTAAAAAACCAAAAAAAAGGTAACAAAATAACACTACTATTGTGCTGCGGCGGCTGCTGATTTTTTCGCGTTTGCGTTTCGCTCTCTCACTCTGCGGACTGTACGAGTGCCACGACGACGACGTCCTCCCGTCTTCGCAATAAACAAACGAGTGTGATCGTTGTTACGAAAATTATTTCAACGAAGTCAACTGAAAAATGTGTACGACACACACACACACACACACAGAACGAGAGACGGAGAGAGACACAGTTTGTGAGACAGCGCTTTTAGCGGGAGGGACTGCGGCGTTGACGTCAGCTGTGACTGTGACTGAGACTGAGACTGAGGCAGCGGCAGCGACAGTGCAGCGCAGCAGCTTTGTGTGTATGCTTTGAAATATGTATGTATCTACATATATGTATGCACATTCATACATACATAGATACGTGTGTATACGATTCGTACGAATATAAAGTAAAAAGAATAAAAAATACAAAAATACATAGAGCAAAAGCAGACGGACGCTGCTGCTGCTGCAACAGCCACCGAAGGCATGCAACGGAACGAACGAACATTTTGCCGAATTGCTGCTGCTGCTGCTGCTGCTCCCTCTTCTGTTTCTCCGTTTGCTCTCCATGTTCGGTTCCTTCGGCAAATCTCCCTCTCCAAACAGACACCTTGAGTCACGTTGCGCATTTCTTCTGGCTCCCCTCACCGCTCTTCGGCAGCTACTCCTTGCTCTCCTTCTACTACCCACCCCCATCTACTGTATCGTCTAGCTCTAAGCGGCATCGCCAAATGCGACGACGGGCAGAGCAGAGCACTGGCTAGATGTTACACCTACAGTGGCTCGCATCGGATGTTCATATGAATATATTGTCCATACATATACATATATGCATGTACATACATATGTATGTAGATATCCTTGAACTTAAGTCGGACATTTATACTCAATCTTACACCTACAGTATAACCTATCACTATAGTATGTATGTGTAAATATTATATTTTTATATTTTTGTTTTTTTTTCTCGTTAACATCTCTCGCTCTGAATTTTGGTGCAGATTGGAAACTCTTCAAAATACAGCTCACCCTTAAAATGCAGTTTATTCAAGATCAGAGAACTATCACTACGGAAGCGTCACCATCGGCCATAAACCCGAGTTTTTGTATTTTTTGCAACCAAACGTTAAGATATTTTTAACTACAGTCGAACTTCCATAAGTCAAAACACTATTATCCAAAGAAAACGTTCGATTTATGGAGATGTCGGCTAACACAGTTGGACGTAATGTGCTCCCTAAATGCTGTTGCCACCCCAGTTCCGTGAATAATTAGAAAATTCAAGCTACGGAAGCTCGAGCTATTTAAGTTTAACTGTAGTATGCATGTACTACTCTCATATATAGTGATAGCAAAGTTTCTAATCCGAACTAAACTTAAAAATTCCGCTCTTTTCATTCGTTTTTACGAACCCACATGCCACCACTGTGCAAGGAAAGCCTAGGCTATGTATAAGAGCCCCCGCATCTCACTCCTCCGGCACACACACACACCGACACACACACACAAAAACACACATACACTCGCATAGAAGAACAGCTAGAAGAGAGCTACGGACAAACGTCGCACGCTTGCTTGGGTCAGAGCCATGTGGTAGAGGACGTGGTGTTGGTGGAGGCGATTTGCGTTGAGTGGGGGGTTCGTTATTATAGGATGGGAGGGCGGGGCGGGTCGTCTCTATTTTTGGCAACACCAAGCCGCGGTTAGCCTTCCCCTCCCGTTCGGCACCACACAATCCCTGCTGCTAAGCGTTTGATGGCCCGACTGGTATTCTGTCTCACTCTCTTTATCTCTTTCACTCCTCTAACACTCTCTCTGGCTCCATCTCCCTGTGGCCCCATCCCTTTCTGTCGGCCGCGTGGGTGAATGCAAGAAGTTTTTGGTATTCGCGCGCTAAGGCCAGGCCAAGAAAGGCCCCGCTTCAGGTCGGGGACCAGCGAAGACCACTGCAAAAGCAACCTACGAATGCCGCTTCGTGTCAGCTGGGTCTGTATACATACATATGTATGTATATGTATATATACATAATATTTGTGTGTTTGTGTATGTGTATGTGTAGGTGTAGGTGTAGCTGTGTTTGAATGTAAGGTTAGCTGTGTACGTGTTGGCTGCGCAGCTCAGAAAAGGTCGCTCTGCTGTAAGCATTTACCCAAAAGAAGTACTATGTATGTAGAAAGAGAAACATTTAATTAGCCGAGGGCCCTGCTCCAGGGCCACTCTCTACGTTTGTACATACATACATACATACTTACATAAGTACATATGTACTCAGGTTCTTCGCTTAAGCTCAGCTTTTTGGTTTAAATCTTGGTCTTTTTTGAGGTACTTTGAATTAAAGGGGTACTTAAAATGAAATCTTTCCTAGTTAGTCAGCTGTTCTCGGGGCCCACGGTCATACATTGGCGTAATTTGTCGAATTTGAATATTCTTCAGCCGGTTCTCCCAACACATGCACATGTATACAGCACATATATATGTACCTATGTAGTACATAATAATATATATATGTATTTATATATATACATACATACATATATATGTATGTACGAATATATACATGGAGTGGTATGGGTGTTCTCACGCATTCACACAGATAAGGCTATTGCGTCGCTGTCGCTGCAGACGAGTGTCATTCCCGAGCGAAGAGCAGAGAAAAGCGAACGCTGAGCGAGGCCCCGTTTGGGGCACGCTTTGCTATGTAAACATGCCTAAACATGTCCATGCATGCGTGTGCTTGACTGTGTCTGTGTGTGGTGGTGGGTGGGTGTCTCTTTCTATCCTCACTCTCACTCTCTCTCTCTCTCTCTCTCTCTCTCTCTCTCTCTCTCTCTCTCTTGGGACGTGTGTGTGTGTGTGTCCATCAGGCAATGATGAAGCGGGGTATGGGCATCCCTGCCAATACTCAGATTTTGGCAAAGTTCCTCGAGCAGGGTAGATAGGGGAATGGAGTTTGTTGCTGCGGGTGGAGGGCTGGAAGAATTTCCGAATAGGCACCACTACAAACAAGGGCTGCTAACATGGTTTATCGCCCCGACCAGGGCTGCATATGAGAGATTACCGTCATGAGATCATCAAGATGATTGCGAAGATAGAAAACTCAAACTATTAAGGGATATTTTTAAAGTGAAACATTTGAAAATGAGTAGGTAATGATCTACTCTGAACAAAAAATTATTTACATATGTACCCATATTTACAACAAATTATGGGTTGTCGTCTTCGTCCGACACTTTGCTCATATCGGCGCGAGTGAGCGAAGCGAGTGCTCAGGGGGCTATGTGTATAAATATAAATTTGAAAATGATGGCTTCTTATGATCATTCTTAGGGTAACTAGGATTCATTGAATTCTTTTCAGAAGGAAATAAAAGATCTATCTTTTAATTTTGTATAACTCTTGCCGTATAAGGAAGCGTCTAGAGAAATCTGAAAATGCTCTAGTTTATCTTGTTCTCTCCTCTGTCGTTCCTCCCAAGAGCTTGCCGTTTTGCTTCACTCTCTATCTTGGCCAATCAATGTGGGCCGGACATCCGTTTGGAGCCCCCACAAACCTCTTTAAGCTTAAGAGAAGAGCGGTTCTCTTCAGCATCATGCACTTTGCTTTCTGCTTCTGCTAATGCGCCCCCACTGGCAGCAACACCTGAAACCACCGGCTACCGCCCACTGTCCACTTTTTCAACTCTTCTGCCAGTTAATTACAAGTTTTCTGTTGCTGGTGTGAGTGTTGGTATGAGTGGGAGGGGGGTTGTGTGTGTGATAGTTGGCCGAATGGATGGCTCCATTATCAGAACACCCCATCGTTCGCTTATCAATTTCTTGGCATTGTAATCTATGCAAATGCAATAACAAAAAACACCAACAACTGCAAAAAGAGAGAATTCGAGAAATCGAAGAAGAAGAGACGTGCTTACATAGTTTTCAACACACACACACACATACACACACATGCATGTACTGACGGAGCATTTACTTATGTAGCTGCTTTATGCACTTTCATTCGCCTCTGCTGCAGTTGTTGGCTCTCTCCTTCTCCTTCTCCTTCCCCGTCTCTGTCTCTGTCTCTGCCTCTGCCTCTGCCGACGCTCTGCTCTCTCAGCGGCCTGACCGGGGCCGGGGCCTCACTGCGTGCGCTCTGTTCAATGTCCCCTATCCACCCATTACTCTCTCGATTGACAGGCCCTTCTGCCAGCAGCTGGCCTTTCCAGCCCATGGCTTCATCATCGTTGTCATCGTGTACTACCTACTCGTTTCTTCCTTGCTTTCCTTTCCCTACCATTCTCCCAATTAGTAAAAGGAAGAGAGCAACGAAGAATCCAAAGCGAGAGGAAAGGAAAGCAATGAAGAGTCAGAGAAAAGAAGGGAAGCAAAGACTCATGAATCTTTTCCTTATACTTTCTCCCTTCTTCTATATATGTATGTACATACATACATATTTACATATCACTGAAATCTTCTCCCAACATTTCTTCTCCGCTCATCTCATCTTTTCTCCTCTGAATTCCTCCGATTTCGGTATTTTTCTTCGCTCTCATCCGTTCTCCTTATCCACTCTTTGCTGCACCTTTTCTGACGGCCTAACTCGCATTAGTTTCTTTTTATTTATATGTACATACATACATATGTAAATATGTACATCTATACATACATACATACATACATACATATGTATGTACATACTTCGCATTGTGACTTCCATATCATCTTCTTATTTCCCATTCTCTTCTTCGCTTTCCACCCTTCCTTCCACTTCTTCCACCATTTTCTTTTTTCTTAGTGTTCACAATCCATCATCATCAGCTACTTTTTGTATTTTGTCATTAAAGGCCAACGTAACATACATACATACATATCCATAGATATAATACTATGTACATACATATATGTACATAAACTATATGTATGCTATGTACATGCACATGTATAATATATGAAATGATGCGAAAAAGCAAAGAAATATCATACAATGCATAAGTTTGCATGTGTGTAAATACATACATATGTATGTATGTATTTATGTATGTACCTATGTACATACATATGTATGTATGCATGCTACTCTTTTTCTAACCTATCCTTT